AGCATCATCCCCCCCCCGCTTCTAACTCCTTTTAGTACAACAAGAATGAACAGGCCAAAATATAATTGCTCTTTTAATCAACTTGAAGTTCCTAGTTAGATATATGCCTTAGTAGGTCCAATTGATTCACATATATTTATGACAAATCTGGTTGCTTTTACAGGGCATACCCGTTTATATCCCCACACCAGAACTGAAATGAGATTAATTTCTCTTGCTTCTTTACTTGATCTTGACCTACAGAATGTTTGATGTTCATCAGTTTTTCTCCATGAGCTCGAGTTGAAGATGATAAGGACAGTTGTTCTAATTTTAAAAAAATGCCATTGCCTGCCTTCTATTCTGGGAATTCAGGATTCTCTTCCCCCCCCCCCCTCATGAGCTTGAGTTGAAGATGATAAGGACAGTTCTAATTTTAAAAAATGCCATTGCCTGGCTTCTATTCTGGGAATTCAGAATTCTCTCCCCCCCCCCCCCAAAGCCAGCCCACTTTTGGAAGTTTGTGAAATAATAAGCAAAAGTAGTGTCTTAATCAAGTAAAAGCATTTAATAAATATGGTTTGACACTTATTACTTTATCCTAGGTTATAGTCTGGAGGCTACAGATTTGTGTTTATTTCCTTCACTTCTTTTTTGTTATTCCAAAATATAAAGAAGCTGGTAAAAGCATTTCCTTTCACCAAAAGGTAGCTTCATTTCCTGGTGGTGATTGCCTTGATCATATGAGTAATTTTTTTAAAAATCTGATCTGTCTATATAACAATAACATATATAGTAGTTTCCTGCCAACAACTTTCTTTTGTTGAGGAGGTCTGTTCATATGTCATGTAGGTTATAATACAAGAATATCACGCAGGACTGTTGGGTAGTGTGAGAACTATCCTGTGATTTATTTATTTATTTATTTATTTTGCAAAAGTCCCATCTCCTAATTTCGTAACTTAATTTAGTTACATCCAAAGTTAGAAGATCTTTGTTTCCTCTCCTGTCACCATATTTCTCCCTGTGCCAATGGCTGTCAAGGTGTGCTGGGCCAAAAGTTACTTCACTCACGTCCAAGAAGTTTTTCTACAAATTTTACATCAATAAGATTGTTGTTAGACCTTGGCCATAATCTGCTTTCGAAGTCCCTAGACCTATTCTACAGTGGTGCCTTGACTTGCAACTATAATCCATTCCAGAAGATGGACGTAACTCGAAATGGTCGTAAGTCAAAGCACCATTTCCCATTGAAATGCATTGGAATGTAATTAATCCATTACAGCCTTTAAAAAAAATACTTTTACAAAAAGCCCCATTGGAAGGCACTGGGGCTTAAAAAACAAACAAACCAAAAATAAAGCACACAGAAAGCCCCATCAGAAGGCGCTGGGGCTTTAAAAACAACAACAACCAAAAATAAACAGAGCAAGCCC